GTTGAGGTATATCTATGATGAAAATTACAGGCCTCTCTCATCTTTTTAAGTGGGAGAACTTGCACAATTGGTGCAAATTCTTTTGCCCCACTGTAGTAAAGTTTGTTAAAGTAAAGGGCAGGGAAGAAAAGCAGTGAAGTAAAAAATAACAGAATAAAAACAAAGCTTATACCAGAAGAGTAGTGTATCTGTACCAATGAAAGCAGACAGAAAGACATTAGAGTCCCTCAAGCATTCCAAGATGTGTTTGGGGCTTGTCAAAAGTGGATAAGGAAGGAGAACTTGTGGTTGGACATTTTGCCATATTCATGCAGGATGGCTAATCAATGAGCAGAGCTTCACATATTCAGGAATATCCAAGGAAAAGGCCTGATAACAGTGGGATGTATCTAGGGAAGGTGACAGTTAGTAAAGTTGTGGCTAAACCTTTCATCATGGAATTTTATCTTAAGGGTCTGAAAGAGATGCTGGCAGGGTTGTGATTGAATAGGTGCAGAGAATTGCACTGCAACTGGTTTTTTAAAAAATCCTGTAGTGGGATATAGATTTAGAATTATTATCTAAACCATTTCAACACAATGCAGAAGTTAACTACTACTTCACAATTCCTTACACGTGCAGATTCTAAAATAAGACCAAGTAAACAGAAACAAAATAAGGACTTAACAGTTACCCATCCTCAATTCAACACAGGTTTTGGACTTCTCAATTCATATATCTCATTGCAAAAATTATCAATTTAAATGCACAGTCATTATCTCCCATCAGAATGGTCATTTTGTGTAATGCACATTCATACATCATGACATCAGGTGACAATTGCAAATGACATTTAATTATGTATCCTACAGTAAGCTTTAAGCCACTTCAAATCATGCACCCAGATGACCAGGAATGCATACAACAGAATTTAAATGAGTGGAAAAGAATATGAAACTAGGATCTGCATCGCACAATATTTAGTTATCCAGAAAACTATCCTTTATGACAGGGGTTCTTAAACTTTTTGCCCTCACACCTCCCTTTGTTGTAATCTTAATGTACTGTACATACCTCCCCTAAAAATCCAAACACTGAAATGAACACAAATGAACAATGAAAACAATACAATGCAACTTTGAGAAAGGTGGATTTATTGTAATAATATAACTAAAAGGTTCTTCACACCTCCCCAAGGGAGGTACACCTCACAGTTTGGGAAACCCTGCTTTATGAGGTGGCACTGAATCTTGTGTGTCCTAAATTCTTTTCTTTGGGGTGGCGAGAGGCTGGACATTGCTATGTATGGTGGCTCAATGTCAGTAACACCCAAAGTCCCGATAAGAAGACTTTCTCTTTGGGTATCTCCTTCCTTTCTTATGTGACAACCAGCTTATCAGGGAGGGATCCGGAATCCTTAGACCTTTTAAGTGTCCACACCAGCATCTGCTAGTAATAAGAATAGAGGAAAAAACCCTGGTATAGGAAGACTATTGGAAGATCCCAATAAAACTCTTTTATAGGCCTTTTTAAAAGTATTAACTTCTAAAATTCTAAGCAGCTTCAGGTACCTGGAAGAGCATCCCCTCCTTTATATAGCAACATGGACTCTAAGGCCATTTTCTGAGGTCCCTTTCCACGTGCCCTGTCAAGTGATTTTTTTTTTTTTTAAATCCATGGTGCTACCTGATTATGGAATACCCTTCCCTTCTTGGAAAAGTTCAGATGATGCTTACACTGTGGTCCACAGTGGGCCAGGTGGAAACATTTTTATTCTCCCAGGCTCCTTAGTCTTCTAATATTTCAGTTTAAATGTATATTAGCACTGTTTAGATTCTTCCATTCCTATTGGCCTCCCCAGTTGTTTATTTTGGGTTTATTCTGAGACTGCTTTATTTGTTTAATGTTTTACATTAAGTTTTATTAGATTTGTATATTTGATGGTCTCCACCATTAATTTCTGAAATGCCCAGAGAGCTTTGGATATTGGATGGTGAAGAAATTCAATAAATAAATACATACATTCAGAGAATACCATGGGCAAAGTTTTATAGCATGAAGAAAAACGGCTTGTGTCAAGAAACAGTTCTTCCTCTCGCACCCTCATAACAGATGATTAGCAGAGTGGATTGACTGGCTCAGAAATATTTGCCCTAATCCTCTTCCTGAAAGGAAAAGAAGATCTTTTTTCTTGGATCTCATTTGACTGCATCTCAAAGCAGAATACCTGCTTTCTTGCAGAGGGGCCATAATTACAAGCTCAAATGCAAACATTAAAGCAGCAGCATTTGCTTGACACCTATTTCAGTTGCTCTTCCCTCCTCCAGAACCTACCTCAACTGGAATGAAATCGCATAAAATCCTATAGCAAGATGAATGCAAAGAAAAATGCCAGGCTACTGCTGCCCTCTTTGATTCAAGAACCAACTCTCTGGACACTCCCTGCAGGGCTACCTACACAGTCCCTCTCAGACTGCTGGGATGGCAAGATGGCAAGCTTTCCAGGGAGTTCTCCATGGCAACCTGAAACCAAATCTTTAACCATTACCTTGACCTTCGCCTTCAGTCTTTTGAATTGCCTTATTACATGCGCATGTGGGCAGAGGTAATACTAAAAATGAGTTCAAAATGACATTGTTCACTTTCATTACAGCTGGTAGGCACTGAGGGACTAAAAGGCAAGAACAGGACATCAGTGTATAAACTGAGAAGATGGAGTTTGCTTTAGAAATCAGAGTGCTAGAAAGTTAAGGAAGTAGGAGACAAAGACAGAGAGGAAAGGAAAACAATGTGCAAAGAAACATGAAACATGAGAAATCTCTTAATGTGCAGCTATGGTGGAATAATTTTAAAAGTCTGGATCCTATAAAACATTCTTCTAATCTTAAGGCACAGTGATAGGTCACACCCATATTTGGAATCAGGTGCAAATATAATACAGTACAGGATCTAGAGTACGTATAATCTTATGTCACATCAGTAGCAACTCTTATGCATAAATTTAATAGGAAATGAGTTAGTTCTGCACATAAGGGCCTAACATACCTGATACTTTTGTGAGAAGGATTTTTGATAAATACATATTAGACCAGCTTTTCCAAACTTAATACTTTTCTGGTGTACTGAGACTGCAATTCCCAGTATTCCCAGACAGCGTAGAAATTTTAGCTCAACATGTGCCAGTTTAGTGAAGATCACGTTAATCCAAAAGAGTAGGAAAAGAGAGCCTATGATAGGGAGGACAGAGGAGGCCACTGAAAGGAGAACTGCAGACTTACCTTAATATTGTCTTGCCATCGGTGGGCTTTCTGAAACTTCTCTGCTGCATCAGCCAGTCTCTGAAATTAAAGAGAAGAAAGAGTATGAGTCCATAAAGAGATAGTATGAACTGCAGTAATGACCAAGGACTCATTTTAACTCTGCTCTTTCACATGGGAAACCAGCTATATCATTCCCGCAGCTTATTAAGTAGCAAAACATTTTCAGCACCCCTACTTGGCAGCTCTGCTGTGAAAAGACATTAATTAAAAATTTATGATTTCCGTAAGCATCTTCTATATGCAACTCTGATCTTTCTTAATTAAATGCTCAAGCTATTGGAAAACCTTGCCTTTCATTACTTTTATGGGATCTTTTTACTTCTGGGTCAGAGTAGTAGGCTTCCACTGACATGTGCAAGTGAAAGTAAATAAATTACAGTCAGTGACATATGGAGTTTGATGGGGGAGCCACTCTTCAGAAATCCCATATCCAAAGTCCAAACCTTGGGGCCAAGTTGGTTAATTGATGAGGTCTGAAGCCTGCTAACATGCTATTTTTCTTTTTGAGTTAAGATTGCCTTGAAAGGTTTAATGCTACTCCTTGCAGTGTCCTAACAAGATGTCTATTATTGGAGAAGAAAGAATATTATCAAATGGTCATTGTATCCTCCGCAGTCAGCCTGGAGTTGGGCAGCACCAAATAAACAAACACAAACTACTGTGCCATGCACACTTTTCCCAAACTGGCTTGCTGAAGTAACTATTTGGTAAGAGTTACAAGGCCATAAACTAGTATGATTCCAGCCCTAAGTAGGAAACGAGAAGGCCTTTGTCAGGCTGCAGCCTAAGAACCAGATGTGTATGTGTGATATTAGAGAGCTGTGGCTCACTTGCCAGCTTAAACGATGGACAAGGGGAAGACCTGTGACTCCTTATGCTGTTGTGAAACTGGATGGAACACTCTCTCACATACTATTCCTATTGTCTTACAGAAGTAGCCACTCAATCTGCTCAAAGACTCAAAGCGATTCTGTAGAATGTAGAGCATAAATGATTTCATTTGCTAGCAGGAAGTTATAGGTACTAGGCCATAGAGCTAGGACCAAGCCACTATGCTGACTTATCACTAAAAACAAAAATCCTTGTCTACACAGGTTCACTCACTTTAATTTGGTGGTTATAAAACTGAATGAATTTGGTCCAATGGCCTTTACTTTTCTCTCACTTTGATAAATCATTTTGACACAGTTCAGTCTCCAAGGAGAACCAGTAGATGTACACATTCAACATCCATCCAGTTGCAATGTACCAGCTGTCCTAGGATGCTGTTCAATGGTGGAGATCTAGAACTCAGCTAGCATTTCTGAACAAGTTCTTTTTTTAATTGCAGGCTGCAAGCAAGAACCTGAGAGAGCATTTAAAGACAGCCCGACCAGTTCTAATCAAGCCAAATGTTAATGCAGATGTATGAGATTTAAAGGATATAAAATATCTCCCCCACCAACCCACCCACACATGTAAACATATACATACATACATTTGAAAGTCAGTGTGGTATTGTAGTTCAGGTGTTAGACCAGGAGCAGGGAGGCTGCTACTCCACACTGCTCAAGCAAGGGCTCTCCATAAAACTATGCATTTTTCTTTCCCTAGGCATGGAGCACTCACCTATAATCAATGTATGTGTTTCAGGTTCTTTAGAAATATCAACACCTTTCAGAATAGCAATTATCCCAAAGGAGCATGCAACAGTTATAAGCCCAGTTTAAAACAATATACCACAAGATGCCATAAAACAAAACAACAAAAGAAAATAAAACACAGTAGCTGTAAAATATACAAAAGTTAACCTAAGGCCAGCCAAGACTATATTTCCTAATATTCAGATTAAAAACAACAGCAAAATACTTTTCCTTAATGCTGCAGACTTTTTTTTTTTTCCCAAGGCAAGGCAATATTACAGCTTAGATTTTCCCAATGGTCTGGGCTGGGAGTGTCCAAGCAAGAGCTCTGGGCAATAACTCTTCCAAGCAAAGATCATAGAAAATGTTCTTCACGCTGCTTCTTTAAAAAGGCTTGTTGAAAGGTTTCCAAAGTGCAGAGGAGGGAAGCCGACAGAGGAAGAATGCAGATGTTTTCCAGGAAAGGAGAAGACTGGAAGACTAGAAAGACTAGAAAGACTTCTAATTTTTCAGCTTTTTTTCAACCCTTTGTAAGCTAATCACAGCCACGTTAGGAAAAATGTTTTTCTCTGGCAAAGTGTTGAAATCTTATTCTCTGCTTCTTAATTTCTCTTTTATAATCTTCACTGCAAAATTAAAGTTTCTGATAAATATCCCATGTTGACATTAATGCAACTGTATGCATGTGGGAGGCTGGGGGAAGATTTATCTATTATTTTTGCTTCCTCCATTCTATGCCAGCATATTTTCTTTAGCCCTAATGGCTTAATGAAAAATTATGGCTAGAGCATATCAGGATTTTCTGCATAAAATGTAAAAGGTGTAGTAATAAAATATATGTCTAACTATTAGAGTTTCTGGCAGTCGGGCAGTGTGCAAATTTAATAAATATTTATAATTTATATTTATAATAAATGTACATGCAGAGAGTCTTTAAACACTGGGAAAATAATGTGGTAGGAACTGTCATCATCATCCAAGCTGAGAGTGGGTCCCTAATTTTATGCTGAAATAGAAATCTTGCCTAGAAATCAATCATGCCCCTCAACAGGTGAGGATGCCCTTCACCCTTCAGAACTAAATGACTAAACAGGACTGAAATGAGGACAGAAGGACTTTTCTCTGTAATGTTTAAACCATCCATTCTGCAGTTTAGATTGGAAGAAAACCAGCTCCAACTGCTTGACAAATAGCATAGAGTGCAATGGGCTACAAAGATCTTTTAAAAGTTTGATGTAGATAAGGCTTCATTCCAAGTGTGCAGCGGTGAATTAAGAGGAGTGCTACCCATTATTTAACATCAGATTATTTTTCAAGGAGAATTTTGATACTTCTTGGCCCTTTCCTTGATGCTCTTTTGGTGTGAGAATCTGGGTTTGGATTAAAGCTGGAGCAGAGAATTATGGAGCTATAGACAAGAAGCAAGGCATTAATATTTTTAATCTGGAAACAGGAAGAGGATATCACTGAGCTCATGATAGCTGGAACAAAGGATTAGGGAATTTGAAGATTTAAGGGAGTTAGATATAGGCACCAAGACATTAAGAGGTTGATAGGAGATGGAGCTAAAGAACACAATTTTCTATTCCTTCCACACAGATCATCCTAAAAAGCTATCTCTTCCTAGCTCTCTGAAATACTAGCAGGGGCAAGCCAACTTTACCTTGGAGGCAAGCTGTTCCATCAAAAAAGGGACCCTCATGGAGAAGCCTTTCTCCCAGGCTCCATACTGTTGGCATTCCCTTGGTGTAGGCTCCTGCTGCAAGACCTCCCTCTCCCTCTGCAAGACTGCCTACTTTATGTGGAATCTGCCTGCTCAGTGAGACAGATGTGACATAAAATAGGCACTCTCACAGACACCATGAACCTAAATTATGAAGAGCTTTAAAGGTGACAACCAGCATTTTGAACTGTACCTGGAAGCTGACTGATCATTGTTGAAATGTTACATAGCTGTCATGAGGGTCTTGAACTTAAAAGCTGCCCTAGACCCTGCCCCCAGGAGGCAAGACTGAAATTTCCCAGAACCAGAGGTCTGGGCAAATCACTGGGGGAGATGGGCGGCATATAAATTTAATAAATCTCTCTCTCTCTCTCTCTCTCTAACCCACCAGTGAGATCCAACAGATCATTCTTCCCCAACCTAGAAAATGCTGGACAGTAATTCTGGGAGTCAAAGTTACCACACATCTGGAAAGCATCAGGAATGTTAACTTTCAGTTTGGGTCAGGATTTTTTTCCAGGAAGTGATGCTGTTAAAAATATCACAGCAGGTCAAATATTTTATTAAATGAAAATAAACTAATACATAGTATCACAGGGATGACTGGGCCTGTGGTGGTTTGCATGTAGCAAGTATAATTTCCTTTTCCACTGGTCAGCAAGGCCTGCCTGCCTTTTTTTTTTTTTTTTTCTTCTGCTGAAGACAGTCATGTGAATTTTGGCTCAGATACATCCACTTCAGCACTCCTCTGCAGACAACTTGTTTCCGTTCTTTCCAAATATTACCATTTCATTGCCTCTTATTAAGCTTAATAGAAATATATATGGAAGCATTTCAGAAACATCTCATGGTAGCCAGAAAAGCTTCCCATAATCCCACGGACTGCAGTGTAACAAAGAGAAATGGGAGAGGTGGGAAAGAAATAAATTAAAAGTGCAGAGAATTGATCTGTGTAGCACATTTACTCAGAAATAGCAGTGCCTGTTCTTTATTTTTTAATTAAGCTAAAAGGTATGAATATACTGAGGCCACAGACTTCCAAAGGGATCAATTTTGCCTCAAGAAGTAAATTAAAAACAGAAAGTGCAATAAATGACCCCCTACTTTTGGTAGCAGTCAGTTTCTACCTTGGTTCAGAGAGGAGCGTATTGTCAGGTAAGGAGCATATTGTTTCAACAAAGCTAGGTGGGCCACTGGCTTTTGGGATCCAATCTTGCGCCCCGTCACAAAGAGGTCTCTGGGAGGCAGCCACCGGAGACTAAAGTTTATGCACCTCTGAAGGCAAACACAAGCTCATGGTTGTTCCTTTTCCCACAGAGCAAGCCCATCTTTGGCTCCTTTCCACAAGGGAAATTGTATTCAGACATAATAATAGAGCCCTACATGGCAACTAAAAGAGTAATTAAAACTGCCATGAATTAACAATTAACAGTAGAAACTGAGGGTAGAGATAAAATTACAGTTGTATTAGTAATGGATAGATTTAATAAGCAAAATATTCTGCATTCAGCTGAAAACAGTCATTGGTTTGATTTGTGTTCTTGTGTGTGGTGGTAGAGTAACTATTTCAAGATCTCCATTTTCTTGTTTTGTTTTTCCTTAGCACTTCAGTCTCAGTCTTCAAAATACATTCAGATTTTTCGCATCTAAATTTCTAGTACTTGTGATAACTA